AGTAGTAGTAGTAGTAGCAGTACCCCCCCCTTGGCCTTTCTTCCAAGCTGCATCCGGTCAGCCGGCGCATCTGGGCGGGTGCGGGGCCCCAGGGGGTGTGCAGAGAACTGTGGCGTGGGCTTGGACGCGGGCATTATAAGGAGAATGCTGGCAGCCTTAGCAGCATCCGGTAGACTAATGTCGTTTTTCACTGCTAAGTGACGAGATGATTTCAGCAATTCAGCCTGGCAGCGTGTCGCCAATGGATCTGGCTGCATGCTTGCCATCTCGAACACGTCCAGCAGAACGAAGCAACGCCCCAAGATGCCGCATTAGACAACAACTGAAACGCCAACCTTTGATTTTGCATTTCAAAGGTACTGGGTTGTTCAAGCCAACGGTTCTGGCACGAATCTGGAGAGAACTGCTGTGCCCGAGCAGCCTCACCTTGCAGCCAAGGATCAACAACAACCGGGTCGACCCCAACACCAACCTAAGAGAAGAGCAAATTGCCAAGCATTTGGCACGAGCCTCTCGGCCTGACGCTACTTTGAGGTGAGGCTGCTGCAGGAACACGGATCTCGAAGTGGTGGCGCACATCCCCGAGCTTTGGAAGGCCTGACACCGAAGCCCAAAGTGAAATGCTTTTCGCCTTTCACACCAGCAGACGATTCAACACAACTAACTGGCTGAAACCTCCCAGCCTGCGTTGTTCACGAGGATGTCAGCAATGAGAGCCATGGTGGAAGACGTTTACGATGTATATCCTTAGGGCCAACGACTTCGAAGGGCAGAACAGAACGTGCAGGTGCATTTCTGGTGTGTTCCAAAGCTGCGACTGCCCCAAAGGACAAAAACAAGAACACTTGCCAAAACATGACAATGAGTGTCAGGTACAGGTTCGTCACAGCACAGCACAGCACAACAAGATCGACGCCGGCGACGATGACTACGACGAGGACATGGCGACGACAACCACCGCCGCGACCGTCTCTACTGTGTCCGATGGTTTCAATCCCGATCTTCACCGTTACAGAGATCACAACAATGATACTGAGAAGAACAAGAAAAGGAAGAACAACAACAACGACGACAACAGCACCAGCACCACCACCACCACCCCCACTGAAGCCACGTTATCGACACCGTGAACGTCTTGGCCTAAGCCCTTGTCCCCGGCCTCGGATCGGAAGGGGTTGAAGTCGCAGGTTGGCGCTTGCAGGCACCGACCGCTTGAGGCAAATGGCTCCAACTCGCGAACTGACGGAGAAAGGAAGGAAATCCCAGTACCATGAAGTAGCTAATGCTGAATGAAGCTGCATCTTCTGCATTGTCTGGGGCTGGCACAGCCATTCAGAAAACACCTTCGTGCAAGTTGCCAGGACCGGCTCTTTACCAGCACTCGCCCCCTCCGGCCCTCGGGACTCGCGAAGCACTGAGAGCTGCACAGCTTGCCGCATGGCCCCAGCCCGCCCAAGCAAGAATCGTGCAACTTGACGCCTTGGCTGCGCTGGCAACAGTACAGGCAGCAAACCCCGAAAACAAAGTCGCAAAGAACAGCACGGACGTTTCCAAGAGACCTTTTACAGGACATGCCAAGTTTGCGTGTGTTTCTCACACGTCATTGCGTACAAATGTGAGATGAAGTTCCCTACGGCCTGAGCACTGCAAGGCTTAAGGCAGCACCTTCTGCAAATCAAGCCTCAGCTGTTGCCAGCAAAACGGGTGTCTGCCACTACTTCTGTTGCATGTAGTCAATCACTTCCTTCACTGAGGATAGCTTGTCTGCAACGGCGTCCGGCATAACATGGTTGAACTCCTCCTCCACCTCCAGAAGGACTTCCACCTTGTCCACATCATCGAACTTTAGATCGTCCCAAGTTGTTGCCGAGGAGACGTCCTTCTCAAATGCTTTCAGGATCTCGGACTTGGTGAGAGCGTCGACGTCGTTGTCCCGCGACAGGTCATCCTTGCGAGCCTCGATGTATCGCTTCACGGCGCCGATCACGCGCTCTTCCATCGATGGCTCAGAGGAGAAGCCACGAATGCGAAGAGCTGCAGCTGGCCACTGCGGCACTGACGGCCGCATCCTGCCGAGAGCGGAAGAAGCCACAGCTCTCCTGCATGTTGGAATGGCAATTCTTCCGACAGCCACTCGAAGCGAGGAAGCCATCGCTACCAAAGCAGAGCCACTGTATGTGGCAAAGGAACACGTTCTCGAGCCCTCAGCCGCAGCACAAGATCCCACAAGTCTGAGATTTGCAGCCTGGGCATGGGCGTATTACAAGACAGAGCTCTCGTTCCGAGCACCTAGCTCCATTGCTGCAGCAGCACGTGACCGTCCTCAAACATCTCATGATTCCGGGCCGTAAGCGCTCTCAAACGCATCTCGGATCATTCGCCTCTCCGCTTCACTGCGAGGCGAGCCCACACAGAAAGGGCGCAGGCCTTAGCTTTTGCGGTGAAAGGCACAGCCATCGCGAGCAGACTTGTTTGGCGAAGCTGAGAACAGCATGCCAATGCACGACCTCTCGCCCCTTGGGCTGCTGGCTGCCGTTCCTTGTGGGCCAGGCCGGCGCCATTTGTGTAGCCTTGCCCACAGAAAAAGAAAGTCGAGAAAGCCGCAAGGCTTGCAAAATTGCTGACGCCGCTACATCATTAGCACTGCTTGGTGAGATCGTTCTCGGCGAGCCTGAAAAGTGGTGTTCGAAAAAAAAGAGATAAAGAGATAGAACCTTCGGAGATCTGGAAGAAGTCAACAGGAAGAATGCACGCCATGGGTTGCGCCTTTCCTTTGTGCAGCTGCCAAACACGATGCCACCTGGATCGAAAACGCCAAACTTGTCCCCGGCTGGAAGTGCACATAACTCAACTTCCTCGCACAACTCCCGTTGCGGCATCATGTCACGGCACACATCCCAGGGCTTCTGCTCCGACACTGTCTCTGCCAGTAGGCCGCGCGTGTTTCCGCGTTCCCACCTGTGCGGCGGCGCTCGCAAACATACTTTCAATAGCAATGCGCTGAATTGACGACCTGTGCTGAATTTCATTGGTTGCCATGGGCAGGGAGCAGCCAGCCAAGTCTCTGGCTTTTGCAGAGCTAGGTGCACTGCTTCGCGGCCATGCCTTTGGCGGCAGCCCACTGGCTGATAGCAAAAGCTTGCAGCATGGAAGATGCTAAGCCAGACTGCTGAGACTGCCACTATGATCTTGGCACAAAGACAAAAAGCATTCAAGGGCAAAAGTGCTAAGAGGATCCATGGCTCCGATCAAGGACTCCTTGTATGCAACAATCTTGCAGTGCTCGGCAGCAACATTCACGTCCAGACGGAGCACCAAAGCTTGATTTGGGCTGGGGTGATATTTGAGCACCCTTTCAGAAAGAGCACGTGCAGAGAGGAGCTGTGGCAACAAGAGCACCGCTAAGGCTCAGACGCTTTGGCACGTTGCCGCCTGTCCACCTTTGTAAACATTGTCAGGACGCAGACGTGGCCTCCCTCACAGTCACAGCACAGCAACCATCCACAACACGACGCCTGGACTTGGTGCTTCCACAGCGCGTAGAAGCTGCCAAGCAGTCCGACCTTTTGACATCGACTCTGGCGAAAGTGTCACATAGGTAGCTGAAGTGCTAAACAGCCAAGCCACTCCAGCTTGTGCCTCCATGCTTATGAGGTAGCTGTCCAGCAGCTTGGCCTTAGCCCGTCGACTGTCAACACAGATCACAACACTAAATCGGCCCTCTCGAAATGGATTCCGTCAATGATGGCAGAGGTATCCCCCATGCTTAACTCGGGTAGGTTTCGTGCATATTTTCCTGGCCCCCTAAGAGGGGACTTATGCGAAACTGTAAGCACGAAAAACAAACGAACACTGCACCCGCGTACCCCTCGACCTTCAATATTTAAGGATGGGGGATGCAGGGGTGAATGCTTATAGTCCAGCCAGCACTGAACCCTGACGCAAACATGGGATGGAACCTTTCG